CTTTCCTTTCCTTTCCTTTCCTTTCCTTTCCTTTCCTTTCCTTTCCTCTCCTCTCCTCTCCTCTCTCCTCTCCTTCCTCAGCCACATTTTGCTGTTGCTTAACACAATTCTTTTCATTTCCTAGATATGAGAAGCGTCTTTTCTGATGATGGGTCCCTTATGCATTTCCAGAGCCTCTTTTGTCACAGGGCTCATACAGCCACGATCATGAACTGCTCCCTTCACAGAAGTGCCATTTTGCTGAAGACGCAGAGCAACGTGCCATTTCCCAAATCATCAGCTGCTCTGACCAAGGCTGAAGAGAACTTATTCCAGAGATGGTGCTGTATGCTGACAGAAGCCTTGCAGATGTGTGTTCTTGCACTATTTTTACAATAAAATGTGAGGAACGACTCTTCACTTTCTCCAGTGCATCTGGGGATCAGTTCAGCCTGTCTTTTCTGTTGGCAGCTTCTAAAGGATTTGATCAGATACTTTCCAACGTACGTTAACAAAACCTTTCATATATGCGTACAGCCATCCATTTTACTTCCTAAAAATGATTTTCATCCATCCCCAGTGCAAATGTTGCACATTCCCTGTCACAGTCTTCTTAAAGTCATTTCCAGCTGTTGCTCTGCTCCATAGGAGAGATTATTTTTGGGAAGCAAGAGTTTCCAGCTTCCAGAGATTGTTTTATCCACCCCAAACTATATCTAAAAGAATTTACTCTTAGAATTGCATGAAAAAAGGCATCTGTTGGTGCTCCAGCCCAATGTTCAGGTTTGAAGAACACATTCTCTTCTAGTTTCAAAACAGATATATTTACCATCATCCAAGATCAATGTTAGTGGGAGGATTGTTGGTTATGCTACATTCATAGGCCTAGTTATCTGCTTGTGTGGGTAAGATCTGACACTTTTATATAACTTAACAAACATGTATACTGGTGGGTATAAATAAACAAGGCAGCATTAGCAAAATTACAGATTTACTTAACTGGGAAATAAAGTGAAATAAAGGTGCATGAATCCGCTGTAGGGAAAGATGGTATTTACACTTTAAACATGTTTTTTAAGCAGATCATTGCTGTTACACAGAAGAGTATTCCTTAACATTTTTACATATTTATTATCAAATATGAACTAATCAGGTTCAAGTCTCAAAATCTTGGAATGATGTTTTTCTTCTCTGGTCCATTACCTAGGTCCTGTGTTCTTCACAGTTAGGGCTGTTATTTTTTTAATGGTTTAACAAAACAGTAAAGCAAGATATGCACAGACAACTTGCTACTGTCACAGTAGCCTATAACTCTTGTAAACTAACTTTAGGAACTTTCTTTGTTAAAAATCACAAGTTTCTCAAATTCAGTCTGTTCTTGTTTTGATTGGCCTGGAAAAGCTAACAGTGAAATGTTTCTAGCGCAGGGGTGTCAAACTCGCAGCATCACGTGACGTGTCACGACCTTTTTCCCCCCCTTCGCTAAACCCGGGGTGGGGGTGGCAAGTGTGTGACGCAGCTGGCCTGTGGGCCACGAGTTTGACAGCTTTGTTTTAGAGGATCCTATGGGAGAATGGACAAATGTTTATTTGATGGCCTTTGGAACATCTGTTGCTTGTGCAAATTGAAGAGCCAGTTTGGCGTAACGTTTAAAAGCACTGGACTGAAAACTGGGAACCTGGAGTTCTAGTCCTGTGTTAGGCACAAGGCAAGCCAGGACCCAAGTCAGCCTTTCTAAATCACTTCCCCCAAAAATGTCAACCCAACTATGTGGACATATATCTCTGTAGTCTCAGAGACCACTCAAACAATCAATCAATCAAACCTTCAATTTTTAAGGTATGCATGTCAATGGTTTATGCCGTATCTTAGTGAAGCGTTCTGTAAACATATTTTAGGGAAAGATGCATTAGTTACTTGTCCAGATTCCTTGATTTGATACACAAATGCCTATCAACAGGACTTCAGTTACCTTAAATTCAAAGGCAATTAGCTGCCTAATCACTTGCAAGAGCCCTTGTGCGGCAACAGCACCTGTCCCCCAACTCCCTAAAGTAGGTATTCTGGTATCACATGACTGCCCTCTGCTGGGTGTTCCTATAAAAATACGCATTTGGTTTAAACCAGGGGTCTCCAACCAACCTTGGCCACTTTAAGACTTGTGGCAAAGCTGGCTGAGGAATTCTGGGAGTTGAAGTCCACAAGTCTTAAAGTGGTCAAGGTTGGAGTCCCCTGGTTTAAACAGTTTGCAGTTTGTGCGTCTAAGTTCAGCCATTTTTTGTCTTGAATCAAACTACTAAACTGTTCCAGTAAAAGCTCATTTCCTATCTTTTCTCAGGGGAAATAAAACACAGATTCATGGTAATGGGGGTATGAAATATGTTAGCTTTCCTGGAGGACTTAAATCTGAGAACTAAAATGGCTTTCCGTTACTGTAAAAGATTTGGGATCCACTTAGATATATCGTGACATATCTGTTGACTCTTCCACAAGTCTTGGCAAAGGGCAGCCCTGTCCTTGGTGTATTTGTTTAAATGCTACCACCACCCCAAAGTTCAGAGTTCACTTAGCTTTGCCATAGGCACACGTGTACAATACAGATAGTCCTTGACTTACGACCACAATTGAGCCCACAATTTCTGCTGCTAACTGAAACAAATGAATTTTTCCCCATTTTACAAGCTTTCTTGCCACAGTGGTTAAGTGAATCACTGCACTTATTGAGTTAGTAACACAGTTGTTAAGTGGATCTGGATGTCAGAAGGTCGCAAAAGCTGATCACATGACCCTGGGATACTGCAACCGTCATAAATATGAATCAGTTGTCAAGCATCTGAATTTTGACTCTGTGACCATGGAGATGTGAAAAACTGTCATAAGTCACTTATTTCAGTGCCACTGTAACTTCGAGCGGTCACTAAATGAATTGTAAGTCAACGGCTACCTGTATAACGTGCTCCTTAAAACTATGCTTAAGCTAAGCAATATGGTACACCAGCGCTTTGTTCTGCAGGATGGCAGGAGAGGCTATGGCCTTATGACAGAATGCACGTTTCCCAAGCAAACTATCCCAAGTTCAAGAGGGCTTGGAGTATAGTCTGAGCTTTCATTGACAGGACACAGACTTTCAGTCGCAGTGATGGCACAGTGGTTAGACTACAGTATTGCAGATTAACTCTGCCCACAGGCTGGAGTTCGATGCTGACTGGCTCAAGGTTAACTTCTACCCTTCTGAGGTTGGTAAAATGAGGACCCAGATTGTTGGGGACAATATGCTGACTCTGTAAGCTACTTAGAGGGGGCTGTAAAGCAGTGGTCGCCAACCTTTTTTGTACCGCGGCCCAGTACCGGCATCACAAAATCATCCGCAGCCCGGTACCACACATGGCAAGGCGAGCCGAGCGACCGGCCAGCCAGCCGACCCCTGCTTCTCCCCACCACCTTCAACTCCTCCTTTGTACCTGTGTCGATGGGCTTCACGACGGCTTCGGGACGGTCGCTCAGCTCACCTTGCCATGCGTGCTGAAAGAATCCTCGCGCCTTAGTTTTGTTCGAAGCCGCCCCCCCCCCTCGATGAAACTAAGGCACGAGGATTCTTTCAGCACCCAAATGCCGCTTTCTACCCGGAAAAGCTCACCGGAAGTACTTTTTCATCAAAACAAGATGGCGGCGCCCAGCAAACCGGCGGCCCGGTAGAAATTGTTCCCCGGACCGGTCCCGGTCCCCGGACCGGTGGTTGGGGACCCCTGCTGTAAAGGACCATCAAGTGGCATATAAGTCTAATTGCTTTTGCTATTGAACCGCCCACCCAGGCATACAACTGGAAACCGGATACCAAAATATGCTGCTACACTTGTTCCTGAGGGCTACTTTTTAAGCAGATTCGCACATGGTCTGCCAGATAGGCCTTTTAAATGACATTTCACTCAAAAGACAGCTTACAGCTCAATGGTAGACAACAAGCCTCACATCAATGCCAAGCTACAAGCTACAAGCTAACCATGAGGCACATCCCTCTTGCTTCCTAAACCATGAGCCCCCAGGACCTACTCCCTTCCACTGCAACTACCATGTGCAGGCACATACCACCTGCAGAACACAGAAAAACTTGTTGACATGCTCTCTGGAATGGGCTATGAATGTTGCCAATAGGGTGAGGAGATTAGATATCTTCCCTATATGTTTTCACATGTTCTTTTTATGATTTGTTTGCTGTGCTGCTTTGTGAAAAACTTAAATTGCAGGTCATTGATAATGTATGATATCCTAAGCAGGGTCAAGCACAGGGTTGTATACATAGAAAACACACACACACACACAAATAAATTAGATCACCGTGTGGGTAGAAAACTCCACATTAAAACTTCATCTCAAAGACTATAAATCAATTTTGGACAAATAATTTTATTTCAGTCTTATCTGGCAGATTTCCTCTTGAGGACAGAAATTCGCTAGCAGCCTGCAGTCGTTTCAGATAACAACTAGATACAAGACACAAACAGTGGTGACAATCCCTTTCAGGCCTTCTCTTCCACGCTGGGCTCATGCTGCACTGCAAGGAAGAGCAGCTCGCCTCAGATCTAGCTGTAATCCTGGGGGGATTACAGCTCTTTTGGCAACCGTCTTACAGCTGATGCTTGTCTGTTGACTGGGAGAAGCAGCTGATGGATCCCTGAAGGGCCAGGCAACCATGACAGTAGAGTCTCTTTCTCTAGCCTGCTTAGAACGCCTCTCGTCTCATCTTACCCTTAAAGGCTTATTCAAACATGGCAGCAGGAGGAGGAGGTATGAGTCCAGCAGCTGTCACACGTCGTTCGCTTACCAGGAAGTTGAAAGTGGCACAAGCATTAGGCTGTGGAGCCAAAGAGATGAGAAAGAATCAAAGAATAGCACAGTTGGAAAGAACTTTGGAGGTCTTCTACTCCAACCCACCACTCAAGCTGGAAACCCTATATGGTTGTCCAATCTCTTCTTTGCAACCTCCAGTGTTGGAGCACCTAGAACTTCTGAAGGCAGGTCCTTCCACTGATTTGTTTCGTCAGGAAATTTCTCCTTAGTTCTAGGTTGGTTCTTTCCTTGATTAGTTTCCATCTATAAGAAGCTATGTACACTGGGCACCTGGGTCCAAGTTCAAAGCCAGTAAGGAAAAATGCACCCCAACCAAAGGAATCCGTATGGAGAAAAAGATGAGAGTCTATTTGTATTGCTAGTTCATAGTTTAGCGCAAGGCTCTTCAAACATGGCAAGTTTAAGACTTGTGGACTTCAACTCCCAGAATTCCTGAGCTAACATGACTGGAAGAGGAATTCTAAGAGTTGAAGTCAAGTCTTAAAGCTGTCAAGTTTGAAGACCCCTGGTTTAGTGAATCACTATACCAATGCATATGGAGAAGAATAGAATAGAATAGAATAGAATAGAATAGAATAGAATAGAATAG